AGACTCATTCTCAAATACTTTGGCGTGTTAGCAGGAGAAGCTGGTCCCTGAAGAAAGACTTCATGTAAAATTGTTGTTGTTATGTATAACTCACCCTCCAGCAGTTTTTCAGAGGCTGTGAACTATGAGAGGAGATTGCCCATCTTTCTCCTGTGGAGCAGTTGGTGTGCTTTTGAGCTGGCAATGCAATTCATGTAAAGTAGAGAGAGTCAGTACAGCAGATCTTCAATCAGATGGATTGACAACCTGGGTTAAGCACAGTATAGAGATCTTGAAGTTAGCACAGGATCAGGCAGTGTTTCACTCTGTTATAGTCTCAGTCCCTGGAGTTGGAACCAGCTTTATGGCATTCAACAATAACTGGTTTCAATCTCCTGTTTGTTCTTTTGGCTGTCTTGGAGACAGTGAAACCTCAGTGCTCCTTGGAGACTAGGGTGTAGGCTTCATTGTTTGAGCATGTTGTTAAGAGGGTCCGTCCTTGGAAAGGTGGTGGAGAGGAAGACCCTTGACAAGATTGACTGACACAGTGACTTTAGCAATGAGCAAATGTGTCAGAGATGATGAGGATGGCACAGGATAGGACAGGGTTCAGCTTTATTGTTTATTGTTGTTGTTATGAGCCATCAAGTCACCTGCGATTCAGTGACCCTATGTACAACAGCCCTAAACCCTGTTCTATTCTGTGCCAATCTCCCTGTCTCTGACATATCTACCCCAATTACCCCAGACACTGAATCAATCCACCTCATAGAGGGACTTCCTCTCCTGCGCTGTCCCTCCACCCTCTTAAACATGACGTACCAAGGACTGGTCCCTCCTTGCAACATGTCCAAAGTATGTCAGACAAAGCTTCAGAATCCTTACCTCCAAGGAGAAGCCTGGTTTAACCCTCTCCGCAACAAATCTGTTTGTTATCCTAGCAGTCCATGCAATACTCAATACTCTTCTCCAGCACCACCGCTCAAAGGCATCAATTCTCCTTCTGTCATCCCTAGTCATTGTCCAGCTCTCTGATTGCAAAGACCATGGCCTGGTACCTGTTGTTTATAAGGTCCCAATTAAGTTGTACACAACTCTGTGGCACCTAACAACGACAGCTACCTTCTCTTCCCATAGATAATTAATCTCTATTCCTGATCATCTGTTTAGAGATGATACCATTGGAGTATGCACACAACAGTATCTAAATTAGTTTATGCATGTGTCATTTAGAAATACTGGTGACTTCTAGGGCTGTGTAACCTTCCTGACTCTCCTTTTCTGAGTAGCTCATCCCCCGCTAGCATAAATTCACTGCCTGTAATTCCTATTACAAGTTGACATTGTCACTTTGGTCTGGTGTCAGTGGTTTTTTTAAAGCACAGCCAAAATTCAAAGCCAAGGCAAGCAGTAAGGCCAAAGTTCCAACAAAGTCCTCAACTCAGGCGCCAGCCAAAGTGCAACCCAGGAGCCAGCTAAAGGCCCAACCCAGGCTCCTGCCGCAAGTCAGGCTCCTAAAGGTGCCCAGGCCCCTGCAAAAGCTCCATAATTGACCCGCTGGGCTGCTGCCTTCTGCATGAGGCTGGTGTCTTCGTGTGCTGTTTGTACAAATAAATCCTAGGGCAGGGCGCAAAAAATCACGATGAACAAGGCAGCCATTCTTTACTAGTTAAGCTAAAAAGTATGTGGTTGAGCTTTAAGAAGACTTCAAGGGACGTTTTTACTTTAAAATTTAACGATAATTATAGCTTTTAAATGTGAAATCTCAAGGCGATAACAAAGACCAATACATGTTTATGTTCCTAAATTCATCCCTAATAAAACATACATGCGCGCACACATATAATTCCATATTCCCTTGCGAATAGCCTACTTTTTCTATAAAGTCTGTTAACAGGAAACAAACAAGATGCAGCTTCAGTTGTTGTTTGTCTTTTGCAGAATATGTCCAAGAACTCCTTTCCACCAGTTCTCATGCAGTGTTCAAAAAGGCAGATAGGACCTGGGTTTCCTTTGTTATATTTCCTTTCTTAAGCTCACTGGCCAATTTTTCAATGCTTGGCACGTTAGTATTTTTTCCAGAAATAAGAGAATATTTTGAATATTATTTTACAAATTTTTTAGAATATTTTGAATAGTATATTACAGTTCTCAGATGGTCTATGTCAGGTCAGAATTGTTTTATACTTAATTATTCCTTAGTAAAATTTTCTTGGAAAAGGAGCAGAGTTGATACCTTTTTTTATATTCACAAACTCTCTAGTGGCTTATTAACTTATTGTTAAATTGACTGTTCAATTCACCTTTATTAATAGTTTAAAACTACTCTCACAGTGACTTTACATATGTAACTGGTAGTCACGTATCAGAGGATATTCTCCAAACGATCACCATATTGTTTTCTAGACTTACCAGTTGATACTGTTTTCTAGGCTGAAAAGCCAAAGTTGGAAAAGACCAAAAATGTTCCGTTAACTCTTTTTGGCCATTTGAAGGTATTTTAAGTTTTAAAAATGGACTTCGTAGCATATAGTGACCACTTCTGCATTGGCACTGGGTCTCAGATGCTTTATCCTGATTCTCTTCACTCAGCATCATTGTTAAAGGTCATGTAAGTGAGTTGATCACTTGGTATATTTATTTCTTTATTAAAGAGGCTTCTTGTTGTCATTTCTCTAAATCAGGTGGTGCAAATCTATATGCCAGGATACTGGCTGTATCTGTAGCAAAATCTTAAGTGGCTTTGAAATGTCTCATCTTCCAGCATCAAGATTTTTCTGTGTCTAGGTTAGCTCCAGCACTAGCTATGTCAATTTTGTTAAATGTTAAAATCCTTATTATTATTGGAGGATAGTGATAGTTCAATGGTAGAATTCTTACCTTCTATGTGGTCATTCTAGGTTCAGTTTCTGACTGGTTCCTCCCAGGCACAGCTACCCCCTGTCTGAATTGGACTTCTTTCTGAGTATGGCATTTGTGGCTATGATGCTGAGCAATTTTGAGCAGAGCTTCCAGACTAAGAAGAAATGTCTAACAATCTATTTCCAAAAATTAGCCAATGAAAACTTTATAAATCACTAAAGCCACCACCAATCATAAGGCTAGCGCAGAATGCATAGTTGTTTCTTTCTGTTGTGTTTGGGGTGACCATTGAATCAGGGAAAACTCACTGGCAACTAACAAGTTTATTTTTATTTTAAAGTATTTGCAGAATATCAGTGTGTGTTGTTGTTGTTGTTGTGTACTATTGAGTCAAAGCTGACCCACAGCTGACCCTCCAACAGGTCTTCAGAAGCAGTGGAGAGGAGATTGTCCATTTTTTTCTCATGCAGCAGCTGGTGAACCTGAACTGTGCATCTGTCATGGTGGCACAGTACCTTATCACCAAGCCACTAGAGCTTCTTTTATTAAAATAAATAAATGTATATATGATATCAAAACCCACAGTGATATTTAAGGAAACTAACAAGGTTTTTTGTTAAATAACAAGATTTTGCTCTTAGAGGATTGTTTTTAAGTGCAAAAGTAATAGTTTATGTAAATTATATGGAAACTCAGAAGAAAATGAGATTAATAAACAAAGATTAAGCACTTAATTTAAGCCTCAAGTAATATTCATAAGAACTTGGAAGATGAAAATGTGGGAGTTGGGTGGGAATATCCAAATTTGGAGCTATAACACAAATGAAATTACAGAGACACGATGTCCTTTTAGAGTCGACTGAGCAGACTGATCTAGCTAAGGAAAAGGACTTGCATCAAGACATAGTGGGTGAAGCTAGGAAGTAAAGTACCAAGAGAAAAAAATTTAAATTTGATGCCCTATGCAGTCAAAATCAATTTAATGTTTTGAGATAAGGGTTGACATGAGAACTTTTTTTTTCTTAATACTCATACAGTGTGTGGGCTGGAGTGAGAAATGGAAAAACAGGCCACCAGTTAGGAGGAGGTGTGAGATTATTCTACTGGTAGCAGTGTTGTTTGTTCTCACGTCGAGACCAACTCATAGCTGACCGTCCAACGGATTTTTATAGACTATAAATTGCCCATGTTACTCCCGAGGGACAGCTGGTAGATTCAAACTGCCTTTGGGTTGACAGTGTTAACTCTTTACCCACTTGGTCACTAGAGCGCCCTCTTGTGGCAATAAAAGTAGGAACTAGGACCCAGAAAGTATTTCTAGGCCAGGAGAAAATGAAGGATTAAATGCTACAGCCTCAATGACAGTAATAGGCATTTGTAGTGGTAGTGAAGCTGTGAAAGAATATAAGAACAGAATAGTTTCATGGTCCCTTGCTTTAAGGCTTCTGACTTTTAAATAGTCAGAACTTCTTGTGTTTGGAATAAGTCCCACTAATAATTCTAGATGCCACAGCTCCTCTCAAAATGTGAAATTAAGGTCCTCAGTGTCATACAAGAGAAACCAGAAAATCTTGGGACATAATAGAGATATTTTTTGTGTTTCTGGAAAGTGCCTGTACTTAATAAGATTTGTAGTTTTCAAGAATCTTCAGGATGAAGAAGAGGTCAGGTCTGTTTATGTGAGAACACGACATTCTCTTAGAATTGTTGTTGTTATTGTTGATTGCCTTCAAGTCGAGCATAACTCATAGCGATGCTATGGACAAAAGACCTGAAGCCTTTCTACAACTATTGTCCTTTATGAAAGTTCATCGTTTCCAGAGTCATGTTGTTTAGGAAGTGGATGCCACTCCTCCTTCTAAATCCCCTGGGATATGCCTACTTATTTATTTGTTCAACAAATACTTATTGGGTGTCTCAGCCCATTGGTACTCAACATTGATCTCTTTGTGGCCTTTTTGTATTTCTGCAAGATTTCTTTCTCTGGAGGTTCATGTAACACTTAACCATTACTTAATTAGAAATATCTAAAGTGAGCGTATCTTTCTTTTCATATCCTAGCATGTCCTTTTGAATATACAGAATTTCTTGTCTGTAGCCAGATAACCTTGCAGTTACTATTTCAAATTTTTGTAAATTTATTTTTAATTTCTCAAAAGTTTTGGATGCCTTCTGAAAATGAAATTCTGGATAACAAAAAGGAATTAAAATTCCATTTCTCTAAACTAATGAGAAAGAAAGACTTGGAAAAAAGAAGGAAAAGTAGAAAAATAGAATGGATGAAGCAAATGTAAGTTGATGAAAACTTAGAATTACTAAATACTCCTGTAATTACTAAAGAATTACAGTATTACCTCTGTAAACAAAAGTTTGAAGTAATATGCATGTGCAATGATTTCTGTATAGTGTAAGAAAGAGATTTGTAAAGATATCTTTAATGATTGAAAAGCCAATTTGGGTTAATTTAAAACAAGATTGTCTTTTGCTGGATATGGAAGAATTAGTTGTTGTTGTTGTTGTTAGGTGCCACCAAGTCAAGGGCAACCCATAGTGGCCCTGTGAACAACAGATCTGAACCCTATCCCATCCTGTGTCATCTTCATACTTCCTGACATGCTAGAGCCCATTGTGGATGTTTCACTGTGTCAACCCACCTGGTGAGGGTCTTTCTTTCCTTCACCAACCTTTTATCTCTCTGAACATCATGTCTCTCTTGAAGGAATAGCCCCTCCTAGTGATGTGCCTGAGGTATGTGAGGTGAAACTTCATAATCTTTGCCTCCAAAGAGCACTTGGGCTGCACCTGCTCCAAGATGTGTTTGTTTGTTCTTTTGGCAGTTCATGGGATGTTCAGTGCTCTTCTCCAACATGACAGCTCAAAGGCATCAATTCTTCTTTTGTCATCTTTATTCATTGTCAAGTTCTCAGATGCCTATTAAGTGATCAGAAGGACCATGGCCTGAATCAGACATACCTTAGTCCTCAAACTGACATCATTACTCCTCAATAACTTGGAGAGATTCCTAACTTCAGACTTTCACAGCACAATATATCCCCTGATTTCCTGACTGCTGTACACTTAATAGCAAAACCAGAAAAACAAGAATCATACTGATATGCAGGCCTCAGAGCCACTCCCCCACTTGCTGACTGGGACTCCAGGACAAAGTAGACACAAGCAGGCTTCTGGGAAGTGCATGGTCACTGGCTCAGACCAGGACCCCTGAATAATAATGGCACAGGTATGCCACCTTGCTGTGTCCACTTGCTGGCAGAGACCAGGACCCTGGATACCTTGGGCAAAATACTGAACAATCCAGAAAACAGCAAAAGAAGATAAACATCAAAAGAAAATGGGAGGAATACACTGAGTATTGTACCAGAAAGAATTGATGGACACGGGACCATTTCAGGAAGTAGTCTATGATCAAGAAATGGTGTAATGAAGGAAGAAGTTCAAGCTACACTGAAGACACTAGCAAAAAATTAAGGCCCCAGGGATTTATGAGATACTAACGGACATATTTCTGCAAACAGATGCAGCCCTAAATGTGCTTACCAAGCTATACCTGGGAATTCGGAGGACAGCTACCTGACCAACCAGCTGTGAGAGTTCCATATTTTTTCCCATTCCTTCCCAAAAGAATGATCCTACAGAATGTGTAAACTACTGGACAATATCATTAATATAACATGCAAGTAAAATCTTGCTGAAAATCATTAAAAATAGTACATTAAGTACATCCAGAAATTCAGGATGGATTTTGAAAACATTGTGGCACCAAAGATACCAATGCTGGTGTCAGATGGATCTTGACTAAAAGCAGAGAAAACTGAAAGAATGTCTATTTGTGTTTTATTGATTATGCAAAGGCATTTGACTGTGCAGATTATAAGAAAATAGGACTGACCTAGAAAAGAATAGGAACCGCTGAACACTTAATTGTGCTCATGCAAAACCTAAACATAGATGAAGAAGCTGTCATCTGAATAAAACAAGGAATACTGCATGATTTAGAATCAAAAAAGGTGTGCATTAGGGCTATGTCCTTTCTCCATACCTATTGAATCTGTATACACAACAGATCATGCAAAAACTAGGCGATCTGAACAAGAATGTGGCATCAGTATTGGAGATTTATCGGCAACTTGTGTCATGAAGATGACACACCTTGCTTTCTGAAAGTGAGGAGGGCTTGAAACACTTGCTGCAGAGAGCCGGAAACTATAGTTTACATTTTAAGATCAAGGAAACAAAAATCCTCACCACCAGGCAAACAAGCAGCATCATAATAGATGGAGAAGAATTAGAAATTGTTAGTGATTTCATCTTGCTGGGATCCACAGTCAACAGCACCCTTGACACCAGGAGTGAGGTAATAAAAGACATACGGCATTGGGAAAGTCTGCTCTCAGGGACTTTCCAAAGTGCTAAAGAGCAAAGATGTCAGTTTGAAGATTAAGGAGTGCCTGATTTGAGTTATGGTCCTTTCAGTCACTTGCTATGCATCTGAAAGTCGGACAATGAATAAGGATGACAGGAAAAAAAGAAAAGAAAAATCAACACCTTTGAGTTGTGGTGCTGGAGAAAAGTGCTAACTACTCCATGGACCAAAAGAGCAAATAAGTATGTTTTGGAAAAGGTACAGCCAAGCTGCTCCTTGAAGGCAAGGATAATGAAACTTCATCTCACACACCGTAGGCATGTTGTTAGGAGGGGTGAATCCTTGGAAAGGAGGAGGGTAAACAAAGAAGGGGAGGACCTTCAATGAGAGGGATTGACACAGTGACTGTAATTGTGGGCTTGAGTGTGTCAGAGATGGTGACAGGACAAAGTCAGATCCACTGTTCATAGGATTGCTATAAGTCACAGTAGACTTGAAGGCACTTAACACAACTACCATAGATGTTGATTGTGCTCCAGTAGTAAGGATTTTTGTTTCTTGATGTTGAGATGTAATCTATAGCAAGAGCTGTAAAGTCTTTGTAAATGAATGTAATTTTTAAAAATCACTAAATGCTTGTTCATTTTTTATTTTAAAATTGTAATTATAAATAAGTTTATAAAACATAACTACAGCTCAGAATGAAACCTTCAAAAGTAAATTGAAAAGAAGTATTTGATATTATATTGCCATGAGTGAACTTGGTTTGTAAAAGAAGTTTGTCAAGACGCACTTACTGTTCAAGATTCCAAAGTATTTTTTTCTATTTGCTTATGACAGTTTTATTTCATGGTGTCAAGTCATGCCTGTCCTCCTCTGAATATACTGTGGCATATGTTAAAAGGAGAAGAAATGTTTTTATCTCATCAACCCTTTTTTTCTGGTCATAGTATTGATTCTGTCAGTGTCATTTATTTAAAATGAAATTACTTCTGACCACAAAAAAACTATACAGTACTTTAAACTTTTTTATCATTATCAAATAACCGTCTTGTCTTTTAAATAGAAAATGTAAGATTATATAAGTTTTAGAAATGCATAGAGAGTAAATATTAAATGCGTAAGTGACAGATAGTCTTTTTAATCTTTAGGATAGAAATGGTATCTTGATTTAAGACTATCATAATCTGTTAGAATATTATAAAAGAAAATGAACATTTACTTTTATGTATCATTTATCTTTCGTTTGTTCCACCAGATATACCTTTTACCCTTTCTGCCCTTAGAGAATGTTAATTATAAATGCTATCAAGGGGTTTCTGTGCCCCTAGTCTTACACTGAGTAATCCAATGTAAAAGAAATGGGAGAGGAGAAATAAAACTTACTTAGAGGTATTTTTTTTTCCTCTCCACTCTTCCTATGATTTCAGCTTAAATCGACTATTCCCTGTAATCAAAGACATTGTACCTCTCAAGTAAGCTGACTACATAATTTGCTCTTACAGTTTCCATAACTATTCTCTTCAGTAATTCCTACAGATCCAGAGGTGGTAACTTTGCCGTAACACTAACTCTGGGGTTTTACATTATCTCCTTTGCTAGTCATTTCACTCCGTGTGTGGTTTTCCTACACCCAGACTTTAAAAGAAAATTTTGTTTCCTTTTGAGACCTTAAATTCCTTCTTGCTACTTGCCATTAGGGAGTTCTGGTGGCTTAGTGACGAGGAATTGCACTGCTAGTGCCAAGGTACATGGTTTGAATCTACCAGCTGCTCTTTGGGAGAAAGATGGGCAATCTCCTCCCATGCAATTTACTGCTTCTGAAAACCCCCTGGAGGGTCAGTTATGGATTGGTTTCTGACTCGATGGTACACAGCACCAACAACATATAATGAAGAGTTTAAAATCAGAAAACTTGTATGTATATTAGGGTTGAATCCTTTGTCCTTCTCTATTTGGTCTGTATGCTGAGCAAAACATTTAAGAAGTTGGTCTCTGTGAAGAAGAACGTGGCATCACGATTGGAGGAAGACTTATCAACAGTTATGCAGCTGACACAACCTTGCTTGCAGAAAATTTAGAAGACTTGAAGCACTTACTGCTCAAAAATGAAAGATTACAATCTTCAATATGGATTATACCAGGAAACTCCTCATCACTGAACCCATAACCATTATCATAGTAATGGAGAAAAGATTGAAGTTGTCAGTGATTCCATTTTACCTGGAACCACAATCAACACCCATGGTAACAGCAGTCAAGAAATAAAAAAAAAAATGTGTTGCATTGAGTAACTCTGCTGTCAAGGACCTTTCCGAAGTGCTAAAGAGCAAAGATGTCATTTAAAGACAAAGGTGCATCTGCCCTGAGTCGTGGTTTTTTCCATCTTACTTTTTATACCTCTGAAATTTGGACAATGAGGAAGACAAAAGAAAAATTTATTTCTTTGAGTTTTGGTGTTGGAGAAGAGTACTGAATATCACATGAACTGCCAAAAGAACATATCTTAAAGGAAGTGCAACCAGTGTACTCTTAGAGTCAAGGATGGTGAGAGCTCCATAATTTGGGCATGTTGCCAGGAGGCACCAATCTTTGGAAAAAGACAACAGGCTGGGAAAAGTAGAGGGTCAGAAAAAGAGAGGGAGACCCTTAAAGAGACAGACTGATAGAAGAACTGCAAAAATGGGCTTGAGCATGGCAGAGATGAGGAGGAGGCTAGAGGACAGGGAAAGGTTCTAATCTGTCATTTTATAAATCAGTCAACTTAATAGCACCTAACAATACAACATAAAATGAATGGGCTGATTGATTAATTAATTGGTCTCTAAGATCTTCTTTGGTGAAGAGAGTGAGATTGTTCACAGCTTTTGTTTGCTTGGCTCCACAGTCAACACTCTTGGCACCAGTAGCCAGGAAATTAAAAGACATGTTGCCATGAGAAAGTCTGCTGTTAGAGACCTCTCCAAAGTACTGAAGAGCAACGGTGTCTCTCTGGAGACTAAGGTGCGCCTGATACAGGCCATGGTCTTTGCTATCACTTATTATGCATCAGAGAGTTGGACAGTGACCAAGGAGGATAGAAGGAGAATTGAAGCCTTTGAGCTGTGGTGCTGGAGAAGAGTATTGAGAGTACCATGGACTGCTAGGAAAAGAAACAGATTCATCCTGCAAAGAGATATACCAGGCGGCTCCTTGGAGGCAAGGATTCTGAGGCTCCTTCTAACATACTTTGGACATATTGTAAGGAGAAACCGGTTCTTGGAGAAAGACATCATGCTTGGTAGGGTGGAGGGACAGCGCAGGAGGGGAAGACCCTCTATGAGGTGGTATGAGGTGGATTGATTCAGTGACTGGGGTAATTGGGATGGGTGTGTCAGAGACAGTGCGATTGGCACAGGACAGAGCAGAGTTTAGGGCTTTTGTACAGGTCGCTATGAATCGCAAGTGACTTGACAGCACATAACAACAACAACAAGAAGATCTTCTTAGCTCCAGATATTATGAGTCAGTGACTTAATAACTTAGTTTTTCTTTGTGCAATGTAACCATTGTTGTTATGAACTGTTGAACCAGAACCAACTTATAGCTGACCCTCAAACAGGGTCATAAGCTATAAATTGCACAGAAGGAGACTGTCCATCTTTCTCCCACAGAGCAGATGGTGAACTTGAACCACATGTGTTTGGGTTGGTAGCACAACTCCTTACCACTTGGTCACCAGAGCTCCCTTGAGTGATAATTCTAAATGAGTCCTCAGTGGTTAGTGTGCTTGGTCAAGTCCTCCAAGCCCCTGTCCCATAACAATCCCATCACACAAAGAACTTGATTTAGATACATCTGAATTGTGTAGGATGAAAACTTGATTAAATATGTAAATACTTCCACAACTTAAAAAAAACTCTATTTGTTTATAATCATTGATTGAAAAGCATTTGTTTTCTTTTCTTTCCTCTATTTAGGTATTATGCAGGAAGTCTGGAAGCTAAGTCAACCAATTATGAAACTCTTGGTTTAATTCATGCAGCAGCAAAAGGGTTAATTAGGACTTTTGAAAAGGATGGAGTAGACTCTGTGATGGAATGGGAAGTGGATGAAGTACTGAACTGGACAAATACACTAAACTTTGATGAGTAAATATATATTCCTTTTCTTGGGGAGAAGGAGCCCTGGTGGTATAATATGTTATAGAATGGAGTGCTGACTTTCTGCTTTGCAAGAGAAAGAGGGACAGCCTCTTCCTGTCAAGATTTACAGCCTCAGAAACCTAAGGGAAGGTCGCCATGAGTTGAAATGAAGTCAGTGGCAGTTAGTTTGGTTTGGGGTGTTGGGGAAGAATCCTGGTGGTGCAGTGGATTAAACAGTATGTTGATAGCTGAAAAGCTGCCCCTCAGCCGACAGAGGAGATAACCTGATTGCATAGAAATTTGTCTGCAGCCTTGGACTGCTTGGAGCAACACTGCTCTGTCCTGTGGGATCACTGTCTTTGTGAGTCAGAAGCAGCTGGATGCCAGTGAGGGTTTTGTTCTTGTTTTGCTTTTTATTAATCTTGGTGAGCAAGAACAGACAGCATATGTATTTTTCTGCCCAGCAATTCCCACTCTTAAATCTTGATACCTACTATAAACACATTTCCCCAAAATGCCCTAAACGAGTATTTTCTCTTTTTTGGTGGCTATTCAAAAGGAAAGAAATAGGAATAAGAGCAGGTTTGTATGAGACAGATAATCCAAAAACAAAAGAAAAGTAGATTCATGCCTTAGGATCAATCTACTTTTACTTTTAAAACAAGACTAGCAGCATAGGGTTTAAAATTATACTAAGATAGGAAATCAGTAATCAGTATTCCCTAATCTTTCTGTGTGAGTGACCCACTTAAAAGTTTACATTTTTCAGCAACATGCTAAGATACTAAAATAACATTTTTGTTATTTATGTGTGTATTATAACTTAAAAATATCTAATAGTCATCACAAATTATAAATCACAACTATAAAGAAATATCACTTTATATCCACTAGGATAGCTATAATTAAAAAGACCAAAGTTGGAACTCTCATATACTGCTAGTGAGAAAGTACAATGCTCTGGAAAGTTATCTGTCACTTCTTCAAAAGTTTAAACTTTTGAACAGTTACCATGTGGTCTAGCAGATCTATCCCTAATATATGCCTCAGAGAAAGAAAAATGTATATCCATATATAATTTGTTCAGGAATGTTCATACGAGTTGCCTTAATTACCTTGCTCTACTAAAATGAGTTGTGGTAATGGAGTAGACTACTGAATATTCCATGGAATGCAAAAAAAACAGACATATGTCCTGGAAAAGAGGCGACCAGAGTGTTCCTTGGAGGCAAGGATGGTGAAGTTTTGTCTCTCATACTTTTGGACATGTTGCTAGGAGAAACTATTCCTTGGAAAGGGATATCATACTTGAAAAGGTGGAGAGTCAACAGAAGAGAGAAAGATACCTGCCAAAATGAGAAACTGACATGGTGATTACAGCAATGAGTTCAAGCATATCAAAGATGATGAGGACAGCACGGGATAGGACAGGGTTCAGATCTGTTGTTCATAGGATTGCTATGAGCCGTACTCAATGACACCTAATTATAATGAAAACAGCACTAGTGGATTCCTTGAAGAACAGATATTTATTTTCTCACTTTCCAGAAAGTCAGAAATCTGAATTCAGAGCAAGTTTCTATCAGGAGGTCCTTCTTTGTCTTCTGCCAGCAATTCTTGGCCTTCTTGGCCTATACCTACATATTCTATGTGTGTCTGTCTTCATATAGCATCTTCCTTTACTGAGTATTCTGTTTTTAATACCTCAGAATTGATTAGGTTTAGGTCCCACCTTACTCTAATATGAACTCCCTAGTAAAACAAAAATCAAACCTATATTTCCAAATAGGATCACATCCATAATTATAGGATCCATAACTTCAGGACATACTCTGAGATTGGGAGGATTATCAATGGACTGAGGAGACACATAACAGCAGCATTATTCATAATAATAAAAAAGTAGAAACAAACTGAATGCCTATCAACTGATGAATGGACAAGTAAAATCTTGTTCTCCATGCAAAACTAACAAGTACTCACCTAATTGTTTCACTAATTTGTCATATTGTGATGGCTATGTGTTGCTGTCATGTTTGAAGTTGTTGTCATCATTCTTTCATATTATAGCAGGGCCATTGATGGTGGACAGATTCCATCAAAGATTCCAGAATATGACAGACTGGGAAGCATGATTGGCCCTCTCTTCTGAAATAACAGGCCTTTAAAAACTTTAAAAATAGCAATGGACATTGTCAGATACTGTAACTGAATATGAGGTCCTCAGGCTGGAAAGCATTCAAGACATGACTGGAGAAGAGCTGCATCATGATATTGATGGAGTAAAGATCCCAATCAATGAAACACCCTCATTTGCTGATATTGCATGACTAAAAATGAGGAGAAACAACTGCAAACATCCATTAACTATTGGAACATGGAAAGTACCAAGTATAAACAAGAAAAATTTAAAGTTATAAAAAAAGTGAAAGAACATTTACAAGGATCATCAACCTAGGAATTAGTGAACTGAGATGGACTTGTCCTTTTTAAATAGGGAAATCATATAGTCCACTCCACTGGCAACAATAAATTGAAGAAAAATGGCATTACAGTCATTATGAAAAAGAACATTTTAAGATCTTTCCTGAAATACAGTGCTATCATTGGTAGAATATTATCAGTATACATAAGAGGAAGGCCTATTAATATAAATATTATTCAACTTTACACAGAAACTACTAAAGACAAAGGTAAAGAAATCAAGTCTATACTAACTTCTGCAATCTGATATTGATTGAGCATCCAATCAAAATGCATTAATAACTGTAATTGGTGACTTGAACTAAAAAATTGAAAACAAGAAGGATTTTTGTTATCGTTTGCTGATGAGTCAGAACTGACTTAAAACAGACCTTCTAGCAGGTTTTCAGAGACAGTAAATGACATAGGATTCTACCATGAAACAGCAGATGGGTTTGAACTGTGTGCCTTTGAGGTTACAGCACAGTTTCTTACCACTAGGCCACCAGAGCTCCGTAATAATGGTAGTTGACAAATGTAAATTTGACAGTAGAAATTAAATCAGATAAGGAATGATAGAATTTTGTACAATAAATATTCATTACAAATACCTTTTGAAATAACACAAATAGTGACATAGAAATCAAATTGTCTACATCTGTGGGCAGAGGCAGTGGAGAAGCTCGCATCATGTCACAACAAAACCAAAGCTCAGCTGTAGAACACACAGATAGTTCATTTTCAAGTTCAAAGTGAACCTAAAGAACATGAAACAAATCCATGAGAAGCAAAATATGACCTTGAGCATATCCAATGTAAACTTAAAAACTATTTAAAGAATAGATTTGAGCATTAATGACTACAATCAGATGAACTATGGGAAGACATCAGAACATCATACATCAAGAAAGCAAAAGGTGTGCTCGCTTCGGCAGCACATATACTAAAATTGGGATGGTACAGAGAAGATTAGCATGGCCCCTGTGCAAGAATGACATGCAAATTCGTGAAGTGTTCCGTGTTTTGGACCCTGACATTAATGAGTGTGTAACTAAGGCTAACTCCTTTCACCTACAAATTTTGTCTTTGGATACAAAGGTAAGTGTGGATAGTCCTTAGGGAGGGACTGTTTAAAAAAGAGGCGGGGGGGAAAAAGAAAGCAAAAGGTCATTCAAAAGACAGGGGAAAAAAGAAAAAATGATCAAAATAGATGTGAAGAGACTCTAACTTTCTCTTGAACTTAGAGGAGCTAAAGAGGGAAATGATGAAGAGAGTTCAACAAAAGATTTCAAAGGGTGGTTCAAGAATACAAAAACCTCCTCAAACTCACTGCCATCCAGTTGGATCTGAGTCATAGAAGACTCCCAGTGGGTTTCAGAGGCTGTAAATTGCACAGGACAAGACTGACCATCTTTCTCCCTCAGACCAGCTGATGGATTCAAACTATGTGCCTTTGAGTTGAACAATGGATAAGGACAAACAAAAAGAATCTGTTTATTTGAATTGAGGTACTGGTAAAGAATGTTAAATGTATCTTGGACTCCTAAAAAAACAAAGAAATGTCGTGTGGTCAGAAGGGACCAATCTCCAGAGAATTACCTCATCCTTGGAAAATTAGAAGGTCCAAAAAGGAGAAAACTCATTGAGATGGAGTGAAATGGTGACAGCAACAGTGAGCTTAAGCACAACAGAAATGGTGAGGATAATGCATGATCATGCAGGACTTAGTGCTACATCAGTGTATGCAGGCACTGACTTGATGGCCCTTAACAACAACAACAACATACCCATGCAATGGAATAGTATTTGGCAGTAAAAAGAAATTAGGTTCTGATACATACTACAACATGAACCTTGAAAACATTGCTAAATGAAGAAGCGTGACACAAAAGAGGAAAAAAGAGAGAATGAATAACAGTAACAACAACAAAAGGGAAAATAGGTAAGAAACAACAAAAAATGAACAGCAAATATTGATGGGGAAAATATGTATCTAGACAATATATGGTATTTTCTTTTTTTTTGGTATTTTCTAAATATATTAGAAAGTAAATGAGAATAAAGGCTTATCTGTTAGACACAGGAGCGGGAACCCTTGTGCCGTGGTTAACGGGAGTAGCACTGCTAACACAAGATGGTGGCTCTCTGGCGGTTCAAATCTACCAGTAACTCTGCAGCAGAAAGATGGGCAGTAACCTACTATGAGGTTTACAGCCTTTGAAAACCAACTGGAGGGTCTACTGTGAGTTGGTTCCAACTTGAATGCAATGAATTTTTTGAGAGAAAAATTTTTTGAGGAGGGGAAGGTCCCCAACAAGAACAATTGACACAGTGGCTAAAAGAGTGAAGTTAAGCACAATAGAGATTGTGAGAATCTATCAACATAGAATCTGGCAATGTTTCATGCCACTGTATTAGTCAGGACTTCCTCAGTGGCACCTAACTACAACAGCCTATCTCTGCTCCTTAGGATTGAATAAACATAGATCAAATAATGACCCAAGAAATGACACTCACAGAAAAGAGCTCGTCTGCTTCCTTTCTTGAAAGTAAAGTGTTAAGATGGAGGAGGGAGGAAAGAAAGGGAGAAAGAGATAGACGAGGTCCAGTTTGAATGAGTTTCTGAAGGCAGGAAGAACAGTTCTCTCAGGTGAACTTCTGAAACCCTGTCCTGCCTTTCTCTTACACAGCTGAGTAATTCATGCAAATGATCAGCAAACTTAAAATTAAGTTCTTATCCAGTAACCTATGTTCTATTGCTTGTATAATACAAAAGGGGAAAAAGGAATAGGATGTAAATAAAATAGGAAGAAATAAATACTATATGGGCATCCCAAGCTACATGATACTTTCCCTCTAGCCCCCTTAATATCCCTAGCTCCTTGGGAGAAAGATGGGCAGTCTCCTCCCATATGGATTACTCCATATGGATTACTGCCTTCAGTAATCAAAAACCTTCAAAAACCTACTGGATAGTTAGCTGTGAGCTGATTCCACCTTGATGGCAATGAGGTTTTGCACTTTGAGTAGGTGATAAGACTCTTAAGGCTTCCCCTTGTGGAAAAGAGCATAACAGAATAAACTCTTAAGACTTGAAGCATTTCCTCTTATGTTTTTTACTGACTAGAATGAATTGAGCTTACTTTGTGTGTGTGATTTAAGTGGAAATTTACAGTTCATATTGATTTTTCATTCAATCATGCATATACATTTTACTTTATAGCACTAGTCAAAGTCATTAATTACAACATCTGATCAGTTTCTTATATATTTATTTTTACTCCCCTCTCCTTCCCTTCTTATCCCTGATAACTATTAAAAATCTCTGCCTGTCTGAAAAAACAAACAAAGCCAAAACAACTCTGCCTGTAAACTTTTCTTTAGGTTTTTATAGTTGTCATTTTATAAAGGAGATGTCCTTTTGTGACTATGTTATACATAATCATTTTCTCTAGAGTCATCCATGCTTCACACATGCTTTATTGTTCTTTAATGTTGCATAATACTCCATAGTATGAATTTACCATAGTCTCTTAAACCATTTGTCAGTTTATGGACATTTTTGTTATTTCCATATCTTTGTTGTTGTAGATAATGCTGCCATAAACATAGGTGTTTGATACACAGGTAGAATCGTTCTTGAATGGCTACTCGGGACGGGATGGGAGAGAGAAGAAAGTAAAAACTGTGTAAGTCTGGTAAAGGTAAAGATAATATACAGTAGGGGTTGATCAGATATTATCATCAATTACATTTCATTTGTCAATTGAAATTAATGTTATGAAACAAAATGTATGTGAATGAATGAAAAACCAATATGATTTGTAAATAAACACTCATAAATAGTAGATTCATTGAGAAACAAAGAAACAAATGAACATGGGTGTACATATGTCACATCATGTTACAGCTCTTAATTTTTAGGTTATACTTCTAGTAGTGGATTGCTGAAGAAAACAGTATTTTCCTCTTCAAATTTTAAGGAAGTACAAGACTGCTTTCCATACTGGCTGCACCATTTTACATTCTCACCAGCAGTGTAAAGAATAAAGTTCCAATCTTTCCAAAACCTTCTCAACATTTGTTATTTGCTGTTTTGTTGAACTTTGCTGGAGTGACATGATTTCTCATTGTTGTTTTGATTTGCATCTCTAATTATGAATAACATCGAGAAGAATGAGAATCTCAGAATACTTTATTGTGCTCATGCAAAACCAATACATAGACCAAAAAGCTGTTGTCTGAGCAGAACAAAGGAACAGTGCACGATTTAAAATAAGGAAAGGTGTGTGTCAGGGTTGTATCCTTTCTCTGCATCTATTCATTCTGTATGCTGAGCAAATAATTCAAGAGACTAAACTATATGAAGAAAAATGTCACATCAGGATTGGAGGAAGACTGGTCAATGACCTGCAATATGCAGATGACACAGCCTTGCTTGCTGAAAGTGAAGAGAACTTGAAGCACTTGCTGCAGAAAATCAAAGGCAACAGTCTTCAATACAGATTACATATCAACAAAAAAAATCCTTACCACTAGATCCTTAGGCAACATCATGATAAATGGAGAAAAGATTGGAGTTGTTAATGATTTGTGTTACTTGGATCAACAATCCAAAAAGGGCTAGCCTGGAACAGCACAGAGAACTGTCAGAAGATCAGGCTAGGTTTAGAAGAGGCCGTGGCATGAGAGATACCACTGCTGATGTCAGATAGATCCTGGCTGAAAGCAGAGAATACCAAAGAATGTCTATTCATTATTTATTGACTTTGCAAAGTCATTTTACAGTGTGACTCATAACAAATTAGAGCTAACATTGAAAAGAATGGGAATTTCAGAACACTTAACTCATGTAAAACCTATCCCTAGACCAAGAGGCTGCTGTGCAAACAGAGCAAGGGAACATTTGTTATGTGCTGTCAAGTTGTCTGTGACTCATAGCTACCCTGTGCACAACATCTCTGAACCCTGCCCCCATTACCCCAGTCACTGAGTCAATCCATCTCGTCAAGGGTCCTTCTCTTTTATGCTGTTCCTCCACCTTCCCAAGCTTAATGTCCCACTACAAGGAGTAATCCCTCCTTGCAACATGTCTAAAGTATGCCAGACGAAGCTTCAGAATCCTTACCTCCAAGGAGCAGCCTGGTTTTCACCCTTTCCGGGACGAACCTGTTTATTCTCCTAACAGTCCGTGGTATATTCAATACTCTTCTCCAGCACCACAGCTCAAAGACATCAATTCTCCTTCTATTATTCGTAGTCATTGTCCAGCTTTCTGATGCATAGCATCTAATTGCAAAGACCATGGCCTGGATCAGGCACATCTTAAGTTTCCAGACTGACTTTGTTGCTCTTCAGTACTCTGGAGATGTCCCTGACAGCTGACTTTCCCAATGCAATTTGTCTTTTGATTTCCTGGCTTCTGGTACCAAAAGTGTTGATTAAAGAGTCAAGCAAACTGAAGCTGTTTACAATCTCAGTCTCTTCACCGTTTATCATGATACTGCCAATCGGATCAGTGGTGAGAATCTTTTTTTTCTTGATGTTGAACTTCTTCAAGGGAACACTATATTGTTTAAAATCAGGAAAACTGATTGTATCTTTTTACCATACCTATTCATTCTGTATGTAGAACAAATCATTAGTGAAGTCTGTGTTGGGAAAGTCTGCGATTAAGGACCTCCCCAAATTATTGAGGGGCGGTGATGTCAGTTTGAAAACTAAAGTGCATCTTATTCAATCTTTTCAATCACTTCCAATGCATCTGAGAGCTAGATAATGAGCATGAATGACAGAAGAATTGATGTCTCTGAGCTGTGGTGTAGGAATACTGAATATCCCATGGACTGCCAAAAGAAAATAGAGGTACGTTTTGGAGAGAGTACAAAAGAATGCAACTTGGAGGAAAAGATGACAAACCCCCCCATACTTTGGGCATGTTGTTATGAGGGGCCATTCCTTTGAAAAGGACATCATGCTTGGAAAGGTAAGGGTCAGCAAAAGAAAGATCCTGAACCAGATGGACTGAAACTATGATTGCTGCAATGGGTGTATATCAGAGTTGATGAAGATGGCATAAGACAGGTTCAAATCTATTGTAGATTGGGTTGCTACAAGTCATATTCAATTTGACAGTACTTACCAACCTTTGCTACTGGTTTGTTTTCTGGTTGTGAGAGTTGGGGGGAATGTTTACTTGCATTGGGTGTGAGCTGATTTTATTTGGCCTCCTATTTCAAAAAGCATTTGGTCACCAGTTTGGGGCTTGAATCCAGGCTGTGAAGTTGTCTAGAGCTGCTGGATTCTATGGAGGTTTGTGGTGTAACACTGGTCTGTCCATTTGCTGGACAGAGGTTACTCGTTGCTGTGATGCTTAACACTGTAACATTGATGTGTCAAATGTTAAAACAAGCTTGAAAGCAGGAGGGGCATCCACTTACAAAATAGCTTGCCTCTGGAAACTCTATGAACTTGGAGAAATGATGAAACTTATACAAGTGTTCAGCTATTTCATTCATAGGGTCGCTATGAGTAATCTATGATTCGACAACACCCAACAACAACTACAACAACATTTGTTACATATTACTATTGTTTTCTTAAAATCTAAACCAAAGCTTAAAAGCCATATTAGTTTTTCATACATTCATTCATAAGCATTTTGTTTTACATTATATTAAATACTATGGATTAATATCATGAATTGTAATATCTTATCAGCCCCTTTTTGGATATTGCCTTTCCCTCCAAGTAACTCATATATCCATTAATTTTCAATCCCCTTTCCCTTTCTTCTCTCTGTTAAACCTCCAAGACAGATTCATTCTGTGTGTAAATCTTTCTTTATCTTTTCGTAATGTTGATCTTGCACCATAATTGTCCTTTTGTAACTGACTGACATGTCATTCAGCATTTGTCCTGGGTCCATCCATGTCGTTCAGCTCTTAATGAATTCTTGATCATTTTTTAGTGATGCATAATACTCTATTGTGTGAATGTACCAGTTCTTTTAGCTGTGATAATTTTATAGTTACAATATCATATTTACAGTTCCTATGTCTGAAGCTGTTACTGAAAGGTTTCGGATCGAAGCCAAGAATGACCCTGAGGTAGAAACATTTCTCAAAGTTTATTGTGTGTACACCGGGTTACTCAGCAAGGGAAGTAGCACTGGGGGTTGGGCTCAGGGGGGCTTATATGGAGTTTTTAGCAAGTGAGTTTTAAGGGGTTGTGAGATGAGTTGATGTTGCAGTAGCTCATTGCTGCGTAAAGTTTCTGGGGCTTTCTGGTTTGGGGAAAAGTCCTGATAGGGGAATTTCTGAGTTCTGGTTTCAGGAAATATCCTGACATAGGATTTTCTGAGTTCTGGTTTCGGGAAATGTTCTGACAGAGGAATTCCTGAGTTGAGCTTCAACCTCCATTTTAATTTTTAGCCTAGACTCTCTCTTCAGTCTCCCTTGTCCAGTCAAAGAATCGAGCTGGGTAAGACGCAATAGGAAGGCTGGCGCCACAAAGGCATCAGAGTGAAGACAGCAATCTTAGTGGCTCTTAGAAAAGCCATTGCTTGGTCCAGCCATTTTAGAGGCTCTTTAAAGAGCTGTTGTCTGATTTGCTTGAAGTGGTCCAAACACGGGTACTAAGATCAGGGATGTTTGATCTGCGAGGGAAAAAAAAGCTAGGGACAGAAGCAAAGTGAAAGTGAAGGCAGTTTATTAGTGAACATGAAAGCAGCGTGTCAGTCTCCACAGAAAGGAAAGGAGTGGCAGACACATAGTTAGGTGCATCTGTAGTCTTCTGGGGTGGGTTTTATGCAAACGAAGAACAGCAATGTCCAAACTAATGGGATGAGGTTGCAGGAGGTTCCCGTTCAGGTCTGCTGTTCATGAAGTCATTGAGTCTTGTGCATCACTTTACTTCACATGTTAGCATGCTGAGACATTGAGGTCTTACTTGTAAAGGTAGCATTTGTGTCTCCTGGCTCTGATTGAATAAGGACTAGTCTTTGCTGTGTGCTGGCACCTCCTTAGAAGGCAACATGCGTGTCTCCTGGTTCTTATTGGATGAGGACTAGCCTTTGCCCTTCTTTGGAGCCTTTACATTATATGGGGCTCAAGTTGTGCTTTAATAGCTTGTTTGGCAAGTTTCAATCAGAAACTGCAAAGCACTAGCATGTTAACTTTACCTTTGACTCTCCTCTGCACTCTTGCCCCAAGTTAGCTAGCTGACTCTGTTACCAGTTACAACTAGTTAACTAGCTAACAAAGCTGCTCCTTTAATCTCCAAGACAGGTAGTTACATACTCATAATAGATTCCATATGCAGTGTATTATGCCATTATTATTTAAAAATGTTAAAAATATTAGTAAGCTGAGTTAGATCAGTTCTATCATATAATGGAATGGTAATAAGACTGTTGCTTCTGTTTGTAAAACTTATTTTTTTTATATTGTAAGTATGTTCTTTTGTTTTGTTTTGAAAAACTTTAGAGCATGACAGCTTCATGATTTTTTGTTTTAAGCAAAAATAAAAGTTTTATTTTTACTTTATCCTGGCTTCCTTACAAAGTTCATATACATTGTTTTTCACACTGGATCTTTCCCATTTCCTATAACCACCCTCCCTCTACCCATCAAATTGCAGGTTTGTTCTTGATGAGAAGTTCTTTTAAAATAACTGGAGAAAGTTTATGCCCTAATCTTACATAATGCAGAGTCAATGATAGGTTGTTCGATGGTATATCTTTGTGTGTCAAGCTGTCAGAGTTTAGCACACTATTGATCAAAGTCTTTTATCTCGTTTCCTTGAAGATGGAAGAGAAATCTTGTAGTGTTTAAACTCGGGAGGGAGGATGATTGACATTCAAACTCTTTATAAAGTTCTGAATAACTACTGTAATCACAGTTCTTGCCCAAGTTTAAAGTGAAGCTACATTGAGTTGTGTACTAAGAGATCCTAGAAGGGTTTCATACCACCCACTGCTGTCCTACATTCGTTTGTTTCACAGTGTCCTATCAGAATCCCACTCAAGGCCATAGGATGTCTTCAAAGCAATAGAAGGCAGCAGTTAATAGTCAAGAACTATATAGATAGTACTTTATTGTAGTTAAATGTTATCTTCTCGATGTTAGAAAACTTAAGGTGCCCAAAGTTAACAAAAATAGGAATAACATAAGTCAAAGAAATAAATGGAATATCAGGGGTTTCTGAACTACACGACAATTTTAAGCATCTTTTCTCTGCTGGCTTCCTTTTTTTTCAGCATTTGCTGTGACCACTCCTTACCTGATTTCTTGGTAATACTGAATGCAGTTGAAAATAAAGCTTTTGTAAGAGAATCAGAAGTCTAAGATGGAATGGATTGAGTCACAAAAAACCTGCCCTTTAATAGGGCTTTTCATCCTCACAACTCCTCATTGCTTACCCTCCCCTCCTTCCCTCTTCTCAGCCCACCCAGGCTGCCTACTGTCCTGCTCTTTCTCCCTCCTCTTATCTCTGTTTAGGAACCTAGTGGCAATTACATTTGCTCTACTTTAATGAAGAGCACCTATTATTAGATTTACAGGATACTTAAAAATCTGGACTGTTAATAACAGCGTGATTGGTCCAATAAGGTCATGAACTTTCCATTTGCTCTGACATGTGAGAGACAGTAAATCTCACAATCCCAAACCAAGGAGGGGGTTGTGTTCTTTACTCTTTTTCCCAAGTTTTCTGTCCATATTTTTAACTCAGAAGCCATTATTTGACATTGTAGTAGATAGTTGACTTACGATACTATAGGAATGAATCCGTATCAAATAAGACGTGTGTTGTAGGGAGACCAAAGAGCACAATAGATGATGGGAGTCATTTTTACATCTTTCAGCTTCTTGACCTAAGTGTTGTCTTTTGTGTCTATGAGAATGTAGGAAAGTCATGAGAATGAAATACTTATATAAGTGAAATCAACAGGAATAAGACTTCTTAAAGCAAGTGGGGTTTTCGAAGTAGTTTAAGAGCATATACTAATGAATCAACTTACTTGTGCCTAAGGACCCAACGTAATTTAATGAATGCTTGTATTATATGCTTAGGTATATTGCCAGCTGGAAGGAAATTGCAACAAGCAACTCCTCTGATAACCTCAAAGGTAGGTGATTTTTATTAACGTTATTGTGTGCCTTCGAGTCGGCTGCAATTCATAGCGAGCCTTTGTACTCTATCCTGTGCCAATCTTACTGTCTCTGATACACCTACCCCAATTACCCCAGTCACTGAATGAATCCATCTCATCAAGGGTCTTCCTCTCCTGTGCTGTCCCTCTACCCTCCCAAGCATGACGTCCTTCTCCAAGGACTGGTCCCTCCTTATAACATTTCCAAAGTATGTCAGACATAGCTTCAGAATCCTTACCTCCAAGGAGCAGCCTGGTTTAACCCTCTCTAGGGTGAACCTTTACTTTTTTTAGCAGTCCATGGTATATTCAATACTCTTCTCCATCACCATAGCTCAAAGGCATAAATTCTCCTTCTGTCATCCCTAGTCATTGTCCAGCTCTCTGACCCAAAGCCAGTGATTGCAAAGACCATGGCCTGCATCAGGTGCACCTTAGTCTCCAGACTGACATTGTTGCTCTTCAGTACTTTGACGAGGTCCCTAACAGCAGGCTTTCCCACCACAATATATCTTTTCACTTCCTGTCTGCTGGTGCCAAGAGAGTTGACTGTGGAGCCAAGCAAACTAAAGCTGTGAACAATCTCAATCTCTTCTCCATCCATACTGATGCTGCCAGTTGGCCCAGTGATAAGAATCTTTGTTTTCTTGATATTGAGCCTCAATCCATATTGAAGGCTGCCATCCTTGACCTTCTGCAGCTAGCGCTTCAGGTCCTCTTCAGTTTCAGCAAGCTGGGTTGTGTTATATGCATAAAGCAGATTGTTAATGAATCTTCTTCCAATCCTGATGCCACATTTTTCCTCATAGAGCCCAGCCTCCCAGATAATCCATTCTGCATATAGATTGAAAAGGTCTAGGACACATCCCAGTTTTGAAACATGCAATAATTCCTTGCTCTGTTCTGACAACTGCCTCCCGGTTTTTACTAATACTTATGTGAAATTCTGGTGGACAACAATAGTGATGAAATAATTTTGAAAAATATATTAATCTATCTTCTGTATTGAATGTATGATATAATGGACAAAATCATTGACCATTAAATGATATATGTAAAAATTGTTGAATTGGCAGATATTTTGTTATCTATTTTTATCACAATAAAAAAAGGAGGAAAATAATAGTCTGTAGATTTACACATTTCCAAATATCTGACATTTCAATACTTTGCAGATATATTTATTTGGAAATAGAAAAATAAATTTTATTAGGGTTAGGAAAAAAACCCCTATCAACTGATGTCTTTTCAAAGGATCATATACCTCATCATTTCAGTAGTAATTTTAATGTGTAAAATTCACCTGGTAAAGTAAATGTCTCAGAATATTGTGCAGTGTGTATGTGTGTGTGTGTGTGTGTGTGTGTGTGTGTGTATTCTATGCAATTATTGTCCTCTGCCAATGACCAGCAGTACTTAACAGTGGAATGTGATAGTATATTGAAGAATATCATCACATGTCAGCAATATCAATAATCCCAACAGAGGGAAAGTCTAAATATAGTTATTGTGTAATCTGAGCATATGAGTTCTGTCCTGCTGTCAGATGTTACAGCTGTGGTCTTGATTCAGAATACGTAGGTTTGATTTTTGCTTTACTACTGACTGTCTGTGTCTTGGGCAAGTTACTATCTCAGTTTCTTATCTGTAAAATGGGATATATACTCTCTTAGTTTTTTCACACCGCTAAAACTGAAGTGCCATAGATAAGTGCTTTAACAAACAGCAATGTCTTCTTCCACAGTTTGGGAGACTTCTATAAGGTTCTCTCTTGTCCAGAGGAAATTCCTGTCTCAGTTTCTCTAGCCAAAGTGGTCAATGGCTACTAGGGAATCTTCAGCCGCATCTATCTTACCCTCATTTGTTTGCTTGCTTATGTGCCTAATCTATTCTTTTCATCATCTTAAAAGTGAGTAGGTTTAAGACACTACCTTATATAGCCTCATTAGCACAACAAAGACAACTTTAGTACCAAACAAGACTGAATCCTCAAGTACGATGGTTAAGATTCCAACAAACATATTCTGGAATACAGTTCAACCCAAGGGCTGTTGTGAGGTAATAAGACAGCACAATTGTAAAGAGCTTAGAATAACAATGTTTGTCACATAGTACATGCTCCTTTACATTGGCACCAGCCTGTCTACTCATTTCCTGCTCATTGCTACAGCATAAATAACCATCACTTCTCCAAGTTGATACTCCTCCAGTCCATTCTCCCCCAAGTTCACATCCTCACATCCGTAGACACTTCTCAATTTAAGATCACTTCCATTTTTTTAACTCATTCTTCTTGCACAATTTTTACATGCCAGTGCAGTCCTAAAGTGTGTTATAAAATAAGCTCATTTGGTTTTCAACATAATCAAGACAGGTTCTACTGTTTACATATTACACATGAATGAATAGGGAGAGGCTATGTTACTTGGTTAAGGACACATGGTCAGTACTGGCAGGGACCTAGCTCTATAGTCCAGTTTCTTAACCACGACAGCCTTCTTAGCTCTTAGTTTACCATTGCACTTGAAGTAAAATTCTATTTTTAAGCCATCATATCCTACTATCATCTTAATAGGCCAGCATCAGTGGTTACCTGGCTGTGGCTCAAACACACCAAGCGATTTCCATATGAAGGGAACCAGTGGGGTTAACAGGTTTCTCGCAGTTTCAGGTTAACCATATTCACTAGAGGGCAAGGAGCTATCAGGATTGCTAGCTGCTCACCATGTTCTCATTGCAGATGCATGAATAGAAAGTAATGAAAACAACAGAAAAGACTGAAAGAGATCGCAGTGAAAGGGAGCCCTGGTGGGTGCAGAGGTTTAAGTACTCAATTACTAACTGAAAGATTGGTGGTTTGAACCCAGTAGATGCTCCAGGCAAAAAAGATGAGAGTCTGTTTCTGTGAAGAGTCACCAAACCCGACGAGCCTCTACTCTGCCCTGTAGGACGGCTGTAAGTTGGAGCTGGGCTGATGGTTGTAGGTCAGTACCCAAGCTAGCAGAGAGCTAGAAGCTAGAAAGAGGTTAAGAACAAGAGAGAAGTGTTTTAAGTAGAGGAAACTTGCATTGCCCTAGAAACCAGTGGAAGGTAGTACATTGAAGATGTGGACATTGGAGAATAGGTGCCACTTTTTCATGGAGCAGCCTGGAAAGCAGCACTTGATATGCATTGTCCTATCTCATTGTCACAAAAGCACAGTGAGGTAGGTAATATCATTATCCTCATTCCACAGCTAAGGAAATGGACACTTGAAGAAGTTGCTTAACTACAATTACAAATTCAAAATTGCCAGTTAGAACTCAACCCAGGTCCATTGTAGTGAAGTGCATTAAAAAAATTTAGGGCATAAATGGTTTCAGTTAAGTACAGAATACAAACAAAAAGTATAGAAGAGAGTTATCTGCTCTAAAAGTGGTTAAAAGGTGGCTGAAAAAGACCTTGCCTGGAATATATTAATATACTAAGTGAGTCTGCATTTTGTCACACCTCATATGTATTATTTGTTATTCTTTAGGCTTCAGTTTTCAGCCAGCACGGGAAAAACCTTACAGCTGTGAAGTTCTGTTAGAGGACAAGCTAGACACCTCAGATAAGTACTCAAAACCCAGGACTTACACAGAATCTTATTATACTGAAATGACACCTGAGTCCGTGTACGAATGGTGAACTCTAGTACCTACTTTTCTCTGAGCTTTTCGCACCCTGCATCTTTATCACTTATAATCAAGGCTTGTGTATCCTTGGCATTGAACATAGCACAATTAAATAAAGAAGACTGAATAAAATATTAAACTTAACAGAGTGGCCATGGGAAAATGATCATCCTAATTCATTGTACAACTTCCAGATGCATATGAAATAAAATAGCTTGGATCAGGAATACTTTAGTATTTATGCAGATATCTTTGCTCTTTAGCACTTTGCAGAAGTCCTTACTACAGGTTTTTCTACTGAAACATATCTTTGTATTTCTATCATGGGTGTTGATTGTTGAGCCAATGTAAAATGAAAATCTTAACAACCTCAATTTTTTCTCCCACCATCATGATGTTGCCGATTGGTCCAGTGGTGAGGAACTTTTCTTGATGTTGAGATATTACCCATACTGAAGGCTGTCTTTGATCTTCTGGAATAAAGTGCTGCTTTTCAGTTTCTGCAGACAAGGTTGTGTGCTCGGTGTAAGACAAGTCCTTGATGAGTCTTCTTCCAGTCCTGACTACGCATTCTTCATGTAGTTCAGCTTCTCAAATTATTTGTTCAGCATAGATTCAATAAGTATAGACATGGGGGGAACTAAGAAAAGAGCAAATACATAATGAACACTGCATTGGAACAGATGAAAGAAAACTGTTTAAAGGGAATATTGTTGTTGTTATTATTGTTGTTGTTGATTGCCATAGAGTTGAGCACGACTCATAGTGACCCTATGAACAATCATTTACTATCATCATTTATCAAAGTTCATAGAGTTTCCAGAGGCATGTTGTTTTGGAAGTGGATGTCACTCCTGCTTCCAAAGGTCCCTGAAAATGGTTACATCTGGTTAAAAAAATATATATGTATGCAATGATAAAATGTAGAAGCTACGTGATGATCTCTCATAATCTGATAAACCAAATGATTGTAGGAGAATTAAGGGAGGAATGTAACACTCCCTAATCCTGTCATAACCCTAATAGGATATAAGGGCAGTTACCCTAGGATGATGCCTTGAGATGGGGACCTTCAGTACCACCAAGAAGGAATAACCTGGAGGGGAGTGCAATTTTTGGACCCAAGCCCCTGTACAATGAATCTCCTTGACAATGGAGAAGGCTAGGAAACATGAAGCTCTCGAGAAATGCTAAAGGAAACAAGGACTTTCCTCCATCACCACCAGAGAGCATGTCAGCCTTAACCTAGAGCTAGCACCATGAATTGGGCTTCTTGTTTTTGTGTACTGTCAAGTAGGAACTGACCCACAGCCGATCCTTCACTGTGTTTTCAGAGGCAAGAAACTGCATAGTAGGAGACTTTCCATCTTTCTCCCACAGAGCAACTGGTAGATTTGAACCATGTACCTTTGCACCAGCAGCAAAATTCCTTACCACTAAGTCACCAGAGCTTAGTGCATTCTAATCTCTAAGAGAATACATTTGTTAAAGCCATCCACTTGTGATATCTCTGTTATAGCAGGTCTAGATGATGATGACTAAGACAACAGATAATGACTTAGGCTACTTTCAAGTTGAGGTTTAATGTGATTGTGTAGTTTGTTTTCGCCTCTTGATTTTGCCCTGGGCCAAGAAAATAGTGAAGCCCAGCTAAGAGATGCTACCTTAGGCTGCATCCTAGAAGATACTTGGAGTATAGGTAAGACAAACCAAGCAGAGTTACAGTTGGATTATAGTCTACCCATCTTTGTGGTTAGCTGTTATTTTATCAACCTGCAGCTTACATGTAAGAAGAACCTAAGAATCATAAACAAAGATTTTCCTCTAAGATTAAGACATGAATGCCCACTCTTAGTATGTCTTCTGACCAATATGCTGAGATTGCAGTCAGGATAAATGGCAAGAAAATAAAAGAAATGGCATCTAGACTTGAATAGGTGAAACTCTCTCTATTGACAGATGATATATAATCTTATATGTAGGGGGGAAACCCACAAAGTAAAAACCAGAAAATAACTATTAGCACTAATAAATGGATTGAGCAATGAGTTAACTTTGAATGATACAAAGGTAATATGCAAAAATAGTTCTATTTTTATTGGGTAACAATGAGCAAATCGGAAATGAAATTAGGAAAACAATTTCACTGAAAAAAAATAAAATATTGGACACTGTCATGTCAACACCACCAGGAACACTAATATCATAGATGTGGATCTCTTCCAGTTGCTTAACTAGGTATCAGTCTTAAAATTTTCTTAGTGTGGCTGGACTGCACTCCTGCTTGGAACACTAGACCTTGGCCCCACAGCCTGGATTCCCCATCCCATTGCCTGAAGGAAGACCTGCTGCTACTCCTCTGAAGGGCACCTGGAACACCAAGATCACAGGTAAAGTAATTTCCTGTGCTCTGAGGCTTTGGACTTGCCCAGCTGTAGCAGTGGCCTGACAGGGAGGGTTGCTAGTACACAGGCCATATATCTCCCCAACTGAAGCAAGTCTTCCCTTGAGTCAAAATATCAGAAACTCAGGCAGGATAGCTGCCCCGCCCTCCTCTGGAGTAGTGACTTTCTGAAACAAGGTTATCAGACTAAGAGCTTGCTAAAACCTCAACCATGAAAAACTCTAGCACAGCAATGATACAGAAGAAGCAGACTATCTCACACCCTACACAAATCCAAAACAAGATGTCACCTCCAAAAGTTAACCAGTTATCAATGGATTTTCTGAAGCCTAAAGTCTGATGGAATTTTTCTGACACAGAATTCAAAAGAACAATGATTGAATATTTTCAATAGTTGAAAGACAAACTTGAAGAATTACATACAGGACTTTGCAAGGAAAAATCAAGAGGAACTTTGAAAAAAGCAATCAAAGATAATGCAGATAAAACAAACAAGGCATTAGAGGCTATGAAAAAACAAGAAACCACAATCTAGAATATAAGGACCAATGTTGAACAGAGTTGAAGAGATGGAACACAGAACCTACAAAAGAGAAGATAGAATTCTCATCCTGATCTGCAAGAACAAAAAGCAAAATCAAAAAGGAAAGAAAAAGAAGAAAGTCTAAGAATAGTGTGGGACACTATTAAGAGGAATAACACACACATAATGGTAATACCAAAACAGGAATAAGTAAAGGCACTGAGAAAGTTGTGGAAGAATTACTAGGAAACTTTCCAGGCATAATGAAGAATGAGAGAATATATACACAAGAAGCTGAGTGAACTCCATACAGAATTTGTTGTAGTTGTTATGTGCTATCAAGTTGCTTGTGACTCATGTGTACAACAGCTCTGAAACCTTCTCTATCCTGTGCCAAATTGTTTCTGACATACCTATCTCCATTACCCCTGTCACTAAACCAATGAATCTCATCAAGTCTTCCTCTCTTGCACTGTCCCTCTACCCTTCCCAGCATGATGTCCCTCTCCAGGGACTAGTCCCTCCTTTCAGCATGCCAAAAGAATATCAGATGAAGCTCCAGAGTCCTTGCCTCCAAGGAGCAGCCTGTTTTCACCCTCTCCAAGATAAACCTGCTCATTCTCCTGGCAGTTCATCATATATTCAATACTCTACTCCAGTACACAGTTCAAAGGCATCAATTATCTTTCTATCATCCCTAGTCATTGTACAGCTTCCTGATGCATAGCCAGTGACATGATTAGGAACTATCGGTATGACAACAGTCCAGAATAAGAGGTGCATAGCAAAGTGGAGTGGGGCAGAGATGGGGGGGAGGAAAATGTGTAACAATGAATGAGTGAAAATTCAACTTTTCTGTAAACTTTCATTAAAATCACAATTTTAAAAAGTGCAATTAAATTTTAAAATACCCAAACAACTAAGCAAACAAAAAAAGAATAGGTATGGAGAAAGGATACAACCGTGATGCACAGCTGTTCTGATTTTAAACCCTTGTTCTTAGTGAAGGTATAGGTTTCAAGAGCACAATTAAATGTTCCAGGAATTTCATTATTTTCAAAGCTATCTATAATTGTTATGATGCACATAGTCAATTTCCTTTATGTTGTTTTCTTGCTTGTTGTTGTGTATCATTGAGTTGGAACAGACCCACAGCTGACCTCCAGGAAAGTTTCAGAGGCAACGCTTCATTCTCTATGGAGAAAGGTGGATAAAAAAAATTAAAACAAATCCCCAAGAACTAAAATATGACCTTCAGTCTATGCCATCTGAATTTAAAAACCATCTCAAGAACATGTTTGAGGCCTTGAACACTTATAAGTGAAGATCAGATGAGCTGAGGGAGGATATGAAGAATATAATCCATGAAGAATTCAAAAAGGTCATCATAAAAAGAGAGGATGAAGAAAAGACTGAGATGGATGTCAGAAGAGAATTTGAATATTCCACTAGAATGCTGGGAAGCCAAAGCAAAAGGAAGAAATCAGGAATTTAAGGAGCTGAACAGAAGATTTCCAAGGACAGCTTGGGAAGACAAAGCAAACAAATGTAATGGAATGTGCAGAGAGCTGGAATTAGAAAATCCTAACTGCCACCCAAACAGATACATGCACACCTATGCTTATTTAAGCTTTGTTCACAATAGTAAAGAATTGGAAACAACCCAAGTAACCACCAACAAACGAATGAAGAGAGCAGCTCTGGTATATTCACACAATGGAATACTATGCTGCATTGAAAAACAAGAAACTCATAAAATATTTCACAAAATGGGGGACCCTGGAGGATATTATACTGAGTGAAATATCTCAGTCACAAAAAGACAAATACTGCATAATGCCACTGTTATGAAAGAGGACTGACATAGGGGTTGCGGGAGATTTAGAAAGATGGGATAAATAATGTATACTGCATTGAAACAGATGAGGGAGAAAACTGTTTAAAAGGGATATATGATTAGATATTATTGTTATGATAGGAGTCCAGAACGAAGGTAGCATGGTGGAGTGGACTTGGGGGCAAGAATTGAATAACAATGAAAGAATTTTTTTTCTTTTACTTTTTTTGTGGGGGGAGGGGAGTGGTC